TGATAGCAGCGAATGTTATTGACATTCCTAACATAAAGAGATAAACACCATCTGTTACCTGGCTACTTGCAGCATCTTCAGCTTGTTGAACAAGATCTGTACCCTCATTAGTGACATGCTGCAGAAGTAAAATCTCGGTAAGTTTATGACACGAGAAAAAAAAAAAGCAGAAGGAAACCGATATCCTGCAGAATAGAGAAAGTAGAAAGTAAAGACCTGCTTGAAAACATTAGCCACTTGTTCCAATCCTTTAGGTATTTTGTGGTAAAGCCTGTACATCCTAGAAAGATCATCCACCTAAAACAGTATAAAAAAGCATCAGTCAGAGTCAACTTTGATATGCCTGTTTGCAAACAGTAAGAGTCAGAGGAATGCAGATTGTAGCAGTTGCAGCATACCTTATCATCTCTGAGCAATTCCCGACATCCAGAATGCTCTTTTTCAAGTAGTTGACCAGCAAAGACCACCAGCAACTCTTGTTGCACTTTCTATATACAAGAAGAAGTAGAACATATAAGTAGAATTTTCTGGTACCAAATTGCATCAATATTATTTAAATTAAACTAAATAATAGAATTACCCTCTTATATGTTTAGAAAAGTCTCTAAGATTCCATCTTTTTGAGGAAGTACCTCAAATATGAACTTAATATTTTAACATTAAAGAGCCTGTGAATATCCAAACATTTTAACTAACCTCCACCAACTTCGGTTCACTGCTTAAATGCAGGTAATGGGACACCCTTTCCCTTTCCTTCTTCAAGCATTCTTCAGACTATAAGTGTCATAACCATCAGAACAGTTAGAACATCAAAACAAGACAGTATAAAAAATATCAAAATCTCACAAAGGCATACGCAGTGAGTCTTGCCTTTAACATGTAATCTGGACAAGAATCCTCCAAAATCCAGATTGATGCCTTGCGTGAATAGTAACCACCAGTATCATTGAGAAAGGATGATTCAAAGTCTTTTTCATATTGTTCCATCTGCCCCATGCCAATGTCAACAAAAATACCCAACACATTCTTCAACAGTGCCCTGTCTACCTGCTCTCCCTCACGTTCTTTATCAATCTGGCACCAAGAAATTCTTACTCTTTGTTCCTTATTCAAAACATGAACTAAATTCTAAAGGATATGAAGCAGGAACTTACAAGCTTAATTACAGCATCTCTGACTTTATCTTTTACATAATTGTATACCTAAAATTAGGAAAATCAATAGCCCAAAATGAGTCAACAGCATCCTTGTAACAAAGCAATGCATATCCAAGTCTA